ACCTTCTGGGACCGGCCAGCTGCCCCTAGCTCTATTTTTAGGTTGTCTCCAGGGACGGTGAAGGATTTCTGGAGCACCTCTCCCAAGAGGCCTGGGGACTTGTGCGTTCTGCCAGCAGTAAATATCGGGCCATGACCTCGGATCGAGTCTGACCCCCTCCAGCTGCCTCTGTCCCCAAGGGCTCCTGTGCGGGTCCTTCTCTCCAAAGCCCTCCCTGCCCCCTTGGTCTCCTGCTCTGTCACTGGCTTGTGAAGAGTTCCAGAGACCAACAATACAGTCAACGACCCAGCCAACAGTCATCAACTAAAATATGTCTAAGATACATGAATTTCAGCATTAATAGAGAAAATAAGTTTTCTCGGACAAAAAGGAGGAAAGAACATGCTTACTCCCAGCAACAGCTTCTCTGGCAAAGTGCTAGCAGATCGCCACACACAGCTAGACTTCTAATGAGGTATTTTCTAAAAGCATTCCCACCACCTTGATTATTATTCCCACTTTACTGTACAGATGAAGGCTGAGGAAAGAGAACCCAGGCGAGGTGCCAACTCACCAGGACTCTGAACACTACGCCCATCTCACTACTTTTAAAGGCCCAGTGCAACCCCAAAGGAACCTGCACTCAGCCTTTCCTCTTCCTTTTCCTCCCCTCCCCTCCCCTCCCTCCTCTCCCCTCCCCTCCCTCCTCTCCTCTCCCCTCCCCTCCCTCCTCTCCCCTCCCCTCCCTCCTCTCCCCTCCCCTCCCTCCTCTCCCCTCCCCTCCCCTCCTCTCCTTCTCTTTCCCCTGACAAGATCCGAGATGGTTTCCCATAAAGGTGATCCAAGCTGAGATTAAAATCAAGCAAGGTTACACCCTCCATTAGGCCCAAGGGCCATTCTCCCTACGACAGAATTCAACGAATAAATTACCTTAGTTAGTAACTCTGGGTCTCCACTACCCGCTGTCACCCAAGTCCCTAGTGTATCCCCTAAAATTGATTCCTCTTTTCTGGTGTCTCATGGCACAGCAGGCGCTATTGGTAGGAAGGCAGAGTGAAGATGGTTAAAGACAATCAGAGCCTAGGATGAAGGTTTGCAACGACTTCCCCCAACATCCTTGGTCATGGTTCTGTTCATGCACCAGATATGGGGGTGGAGACAGAGTCCAATCGTGTCCAAAAAGGACACAATCCAATTCAGTAAAAAGACAAGCTGCTTGGACATTGGAGGTCCCAGGAGGCCTCACCACTGTGAGTGGCACTGGACGCCACCGAATGAGCCCACCCACGGGACCGCCAGGCCACAGTGTCCTCCAGGAGTCACTCTCTAGAATCCCGAATGTCCTGGCGCATGCCGCCACCAGGCTAGCGAGTTCTCACAAAGCATTGTTTTCGTCACCTTTAATTGCTTCTTAGTTTAAATCCCCCCCCCCCCCCGGCCCAAAACAGTGAGACAACAACTTAGATTCAGTCATTTATCCCAGGGAGCAGGGCAAGTGAGGCAGGGAAGTCAGAACAACCAGAAAGCGTGCATTATTGACGATCGGACCACCACTGTGGGCCACGGGGGCTGGGCCCTGCTGCGACCCTCTGAGACATCCTACAGAGCCCATGTCAGAACCATCAACCCCAGGGACAGGGAGGCTGGGGAACAGTCCCACCTGCATCCCTCCCTGCCTGAGGGTTGCCCCTTAGGGCATCATCCCAATCCCAGCATTTCCATCCCAGCCTGTACTCAGGCTGAACAAACTGCCCCTAGTCAGGAGGGTTCCTTCAGGAGCAAGAAAGACACAGTGAGGAACTGTGGTGTGGAGCGGAGCTGTCCAACAAGGCTGTGGAGAACGCTGGGTGGGCTACGGGCACACGGGGCAGGGCACCAACAGCGTCTACTGCAGCTTCTCAGTGGCTTCAGGGGACATCCTCATCCCCGGGCCTACCTTCCAGGGAGGGCTGCCAGAGAAGACACAGGACGCCAGTTAAACTGGGATTTCAGATAATGATGGGTATTTTTTAGTATAAGTTTATCCCAAATGGTGCCTGGCACATTCATATACTAAGAAGTTGTTCATTGTTTAAAATTCTAATTTAACTGGGCATTTAGTTTTGTTTTGTTTTGTTTTCGGTACGCGGGCCTCTCACTGTTGTGGCCTCTCCCGTTGCGGAGCACAGGCTCCGGACGCGCAGGCTCAGCGGCCGTGGCTCACGGGCCCAGCCGCTCCACGGCACGTGGGATCTTCCCGGACCGGGGCACGAACCCGTGTCCCCTGCATCAGCAGGCGGACTCTCAACCACTGCGCCACCAGGGAAGCCCGCATTTAGTATTTTTATTTGCTAAATCATGCAATCCAACCTCAAGGCTCTCCTTGATCTGGCCTTGATGTATTTCTGATTACTCTGATTCTCGAACGCTTTCTTCCATGAAAAGGGGCTCTTCCCTGGAGTTGGAAGCAGTCCTCCAACTCCCCGACTCCATGGGGGTGCTCAAGCTGGTTCCTGGCAGGGGTAACCCCTGCCATGTCTCTGTCCTGCCTACCACCTCTGGGTCTAATGTCTCTCTGAACATGTCTATGTACTGCCACCTCTCCCTTCTCTCCCCTCTGAAAGCAGGTACTGTCTGCACTGCTCACCTTGTGCCCTTGGGTCATCTGCTAACATCTGTCTGAATGCTGTATTTTCCCAGCTAGAGTGTAACTCTCACCCAGCCCAGCACAAGGATCAACAGGTAATTACTAGTTGGTTAGTGAGAAGACCCCCTCGGTCCCCAGCCCCTGCAAACGCAAGCCCTGTGAGAGTGGAGACAGAGCCCCTCTCGTTCCCCCCTGGATCTCACCATCAAGCAGCACAGCACACGTGTCGTGGAATAACTGAGTGAACAGAACCTTCTGTAAGGGCCGCATCACGCCAAGAACGTTGTCTAAATCAGCCAAAGACATCACCAGCAGCAGGAGGGCTGGTCGGAGTACTCTGACTATATCGTGGCTTTTCCGCTTTCACAGCCTGGCCGCGCGCTCCCTTTCCGGGTTCTGGATTCCATCCTACACCACCTCTGGAGAGCACCCCACACAAACTCCTATTTGAGACCGGCCTCACCAAATGCAAATACGATATGGCCTGGGCACTGGGCAATGTCATTATCTTTTCTCTCTCTTTTAAATTAGGTGCTCTGATGTAGATGTAATAGCCATGCATTCATATAACACTTCGTATTAGTAAGAGCTTTCTCACGGGTTATTTTATTTCAACATCCCTGAAAAGTAGGCAAAGCAGAATTATTATCTGTTTGACAAATGGGAGAAGCTGAGTTGTTAAATGGCTCAGCCAAGCGACGACTGCCGAGGGAGGTCAGGAGTACCTGTGTCTAACTTTTTTTTTTTTTTTTTTTGCGGTACGCGGGCCTCTCACTGTTGTGGCCTCTCCCATTGCGGAGCACAGGCTCCGGACGCGCAGGCTCAGCGGCCATGGTTCACGGGCCCAGCCGCTCCGCAGCATGTGGGATCCTCCCAGACCGGGGCACGAACCTGTGTCCCCTGCATCGGCAGGCGGACTCTCAACCACTGCGCCACCAGGGAAACCCGTGTCTAACTTTTTATTTACAAACATGGCTTAAAATGTCTCACATTAGCAATGTAAACAGGAATATCTCATTTTCATATAGAATGTTTACTCAAAGGAATGCTTATTCCTGCATATTTGGGTCATCCCCCTGGTGGTCACACAGCAGGCAGGGGTCCAGTCACCTGCTCCCTGAGCTTTCCCCTGCCAGGGAGGGCTGGCCACCCTTCGCCACTTGGGGCTGCTCCCTAAAGTACCCATCAGATGTCTGGGGCTCCCGGGGCTCCCTACCCTTCCTGGCCAATGTGTGCACACAGGCCTGGGAAGGAGGAACTGCGGTCAACGAACACAGGAGTGAAGTGCCTAAGGAGGTTCGCAGCAGAAAGTGCGTGACCAGCTGCCCTCCCCCAAGCCCCATGCTGCTGTCAGGAAGGATTAGCTTTAAGGAGGTGTCTTTAACAAGTGTCATCGGAGACAGCCCTGGAGAGTGGGACTCACCGCGCACCCCCAACCTGTGCCCAAGACCCTCATCCGTGATCAAAATTGCATTTTCCATGGAGCCCTCGTGTGTGTGTGCGTGTGTGTGTGTGTGTGTGTGTGTGTGTGTGTGTGTACATTTACTTGGTTGGTGAAGGTTGGGGGGTGTGACCCAGTTGGGGGTTTCCTTCCGGTGCAGGTAAGGGCTGCGCCGCACGTCCCCCCACGGGGAGGCTAGGGAAGGCTTTGGGGGCCACGGGCTACCTGGGCAGGCAAAGCGCAGGGTGGGCGCACGACCCCGCCCGCCGCTCCCTCCAGCTGGACAAAGTCAAGCAGCAGACCGATCGATGTCGCCAAAGTCCGGGCCGGCTGCCGGCGTGGCCAGGGCTGAAGTTCGCGAGGGCCCTGCACGCCTTAGGCAGTCCCGAGCCCCCAAGGGCCTGAAAGGTGCTCCCAGGGTCAGGCAAAGGGGCCGGCTGCAGAGGAGTCTCCAGCCCCCGGCCCAGAGTCACCCGAGGGAAACTGGGGAGCAGGGAGTGTCCATTTGAGGGAGCAGCTACACAGCCAACGCCCCCCTCCCCCGCTGTCCCCACCCACTGCCCCTCCCCTCAGTCTCGGGCTGCGGCGCGCGGCTCCACCTCTCCGGAGCGCAGTCCACACTGTCCTTTTTCAACAAAACAACGCTACGCACCGCCCCTCCGCCCCCGCCCCAGCGCCCGCACCCGGCGGGATCCCGTGCTGCGCACAGCCCGCCCCGCAGCTCCCGCCCCCGCCGCAGACGGTCGCCGAGCCCCGTTCGCACGCGGGTGGGAAGAGAGATGGAGCCCGGGCACAGCGGCCCAGCTCGGCCCTGCGCCTCCACCCTTCCCCAAGCCGCCCGAAGTGACAGGAGGGGCACGCACGGCGCGCGCGGGGCGTCCCGCGTTAACCGCTTCCGCGCCGGGTCGGAGCGACGCGAGGGTGGGCGGCCGGGGGCGGCGGGGTGGGACTCACCGGAATGTGCACTCGCAGCGAACGCCGCTTCTGGCTGCTGTTCTTCTTGCCGCTGCTCCCGCCGGGGCTGGAAACATCCTTCTTCTTCTTGGTGTCCATGGCCGCGCTTCCCATAACTTTAACCAGAAGTTAATTCCGGGTGACTCGTTCCTGGAATTCGGTCCTCTCCTTCCCAGTCCGGCCCCAGCCGTCGGCCGCGAGCCGCACGCGCTGTTTACTGTCCTTGCACCCTGAAGACACCGCGTGGGGACTTCCGCGGGGAGGGAAGGTGGAGCTGGGGTGGCGGTCGGCGGGAGCGCCGAGTTCACGTGTCCTCTTCCTCCTACGGGCTCTTCGGATGCGAAATCAAAGCCAAAGGCTGTTCTGGTTCAGGTCTCTCGCCGGGCTACGCGTGGCAGAGGTCTCCCGCTGGGTGACAAAGTTTTCTTCCTTTTGCAAAGCGAAGCAACATTTTCCACCCTCTCGGCTCCTCCCACAGATTCCCAGAGATAATCAGAAAGGCAGGTGCAATTAAACACGGCAATTTAGGAAGCAGCCCTCCTATGCCTATGCCTAAGTGGAAAATCTGGCGAGAGCCAGACAGTTTGTATGTTTATATGACCCTCCACCGGAGAATAAACCAGCCCGCAGCCTGCAACTAGGTCCGTCCTCCTTTCTGGGCGAGAGGGAGGGAGGGAGGAGGGGAAGAGGAGGTGCAAGCGCTAACACTCTTCGCAACTGGGCTGAAGCTCGACTGCGAGCACGAGTTCTGGCGGCCGCCCTGCCGGCCGGAGGGCGTGCGGGAGCCCCACGGGGAGCGGAGGGCAGGCGCCCGTTCCGTGCCGCCGCCTCGCCGCGGCCCGGGGACCCGAGGGGTCAACGAAGGGCCGGGCCTGGCACCGACGCAGGCTCGCGGGGCGGTGGACGGCGGCGTGCCTCGAACAGGAAGTGCGCGGCGTGCGGCGCGCCCTCCCGCTCCGCCCGCCGACCCCCGCCGCCCCCTGCGGCCGCGGCGGCGCGGGACTCGCTCCGAGATGATTCCTGACTCATGTCGTCCCCCAGTGTCTGTTTATGCCTCACCCCCTGAAACACGCACACGCGCCCTGTGCCCCGCAGACCCGGCCGCGGCGGAAGCGCGGGTTTCTGTGGGATGCGCGCTGACCCGCACGTGCTTCTCGGAAAACCGCGGCGCGGGGCCCTTCCCCCCGGCGTGCGGACCTGAATGCGCAATGAGAGCGGGCGGAGTGCGGGTTTTCACCCCCACCCCGCCGTACCCCACCCCACCCGGCTTTGCTTAGGTTCACCAGGGGATCGGCGGTAAGTGTCGGGCGCGGAGTCAGCAACCCAGCGCCGCCGTGAACGCGGGGTTCCTAAGACTGCGGAAGAAAAGGTGGAGGAGAGGGCGGTAAACCCCGCGCGAGTCCCCCAAGTGCTGCAACGGTCTCAGCCACCGCGTTGCCCGTCTGGCACCGCCCGTAGCCAAGGGCCAGTGGGGCGTTCTCCCAGGTGGCGGTGCGCCCCCCACCCGCCGAGGTGGGCCCCAGGATGGCGCGACCCTCACCCCCCAGCCCCCTGCCTGCCTGGCTGGGAGTAAGGTGAGTGCTCGGTCGGGAGTCGCCTCCGCTCCTGCTCTAGGTTCTGAGGATAGAGTGGCCCCCAAAGTCACTCGAACAACCTGAATGCTGACGTCAGCGCTGCTGCTCCCCGGAATCGGTGGGGCGGGGAGGCCACCCGAGAAAGAACGGGACACAGGTCGCTTTGGGAACGCCCTGGGGTCTGTGAGGAGGTGGCCTTCACTCTTGTCCAGGTGCGGAGATATGCACAGTTCTCTCCTGGGGAGAAGGGTGAGCCCGCTTTCAGGGCCGCCCCTTAGGCGGTGCCCCCCACCCAGCCAGGAGGAACCCTGGTTCAGCCATCTTTCCTGTTTCCCTCTCCCGTCTGAGTTCCTGCGGTCTGGGTGGTGCCGCGGTTTAGAGGGGTGGGTTTCTGGTGGGTTTGCCTTCCTCCTCCTCCCGGCTCTCCAGCCCAGAATGGAGCCAGACTGAAGACCCTCCTGGTCCCGGAGTAGTGCTTTCTGGACAGAAGGTCGCAGTGCTCTGGAGGGGACCGCACCTGGCTTCAAAAACCCAGTGGCCATCCCTGCCCCACAGGTGTGGCATTTCTTGCTTTGACCTTTTTCTAACTGGCTGCCTGCAGGAGGATTTCAGGAGACTCAGGGAGACTGACTGCATTATTTCACTAAATGCTAGAAACACTGGTTAGAAGGAGAAAAGGGTGGACCTTCAGCCTATGTGACGTGGTATAAAGCCCACCCTTACTCATTCAAAATGACTCCCCAACTGTCATTTAAATTTCATCTCTTCAGTTTGATGTTTTAATCCCTATCACAATGATTATTTGCCAAGGCATCCAAATCACTCCATTTGCTGAGAACGGGTTTGAAAAGGAGAGATGGAGAACCAGGAGGGCAAGTCCGGGAGCCACTGGGAGGCCCCTCCTGGGACGGATTCAGAATGAGGAAGCCACTGTTGTTTCGCACACTGAACGCTTTGCCTGAGGCCTGTCATGGTTGAAGGGCCTCGTCTAGCGATTGTTAGAATACGTACTTTTGTCAGTTGATTTGAGTAAATATGCCTGATCATTCATTAATAAGATTCATTTGTTTTCTGAGTTTGTTTCGTTGGAGTGCAGACTTTACTGCCTGGGAATCTTAAATCAAAACATTTTACCATATTGCCTGCATTTCAAGAGCCCTCTCCTTTTTTGGGGATCCATATCTTAATTTTTTTTTTTTAATTTGTGTGTTTCTTATAGATGGGGTCAGAAGAAGTTTACCAGCCATTTTTTTTCCTTCTGAAAAAATATTAATACATTGATCATATATCTTCCAAGCAGTGAAGTCTTAGAATAGAGGGGGCACATTGCGTTGGGATGCCCTCCGAAACCCCTTCTCTCCTTCACCTGGCTGCAGAGTTATTTTTTTTTTTAATATTTACTTATCTATTTATTTGGCTGCGCTGGATCTTAGTTGCAGCACGCAGGATCTTTTAGTTGCAGCATGCAAGCTCTTAGTTGCGGCCTGCAGGATCTTGTTCCCTGACCTGGGATCGAACCCGGGCCCCCTGCATTGGAAGCACGGAGTCTTAACTGCTGGACCACCAGGGAAGTCCCTGCACAGTTAGCGAGTAGCTAAATGTGGCATGCCCAAGCCACAGCATCTCTGTAATGACCCCTGACGTCTACTGTTTCTGAATGCCCTGACCTATGACTCCCTTTGCAAAACTAATGCAATCAAATATATGCTGAACAAAATAGAAAAATTTTGAATAAAGACAGCGTTACTGAATTTGCCTTTTGCCTCAGGCTCCAATATTGCTCAGCTTAGCACTGTTACCAATCCCGTCTTTATGTAAAATTATGATTTTTTTGGGGGGTATAAAATGAAGTTTATAGATACAATTTTTCCCCCCCAAATCAAGCAGAGGCTCTTAGTGGTCACCAAATATCTATATGATTGTTTACATTTTCCAGTGCCCTGGCAGTTAGGATGGGAATATGTAATTAATTCTGGCCAATGAAATGCGAATAGAATTAGTAGTAGTATTTCTGGGTCAAGCAGTGAAGAGTTAGTATGTCTGCCCCATTTCCCTTTTCCCCTCCCGCCATGATCTTGGAGACCCCATGATCTTGGAGGTCACGTGTTTCAGGTGGCACCCAGTAAGATGGAGGAGGGCAACTCAACTTGAATTGGACTTGATTGAATTGGGTTAAAGCCACTGAGATTTTGATATTTATTTGTTATCACAGCATAGCCTTGCCTATACAAAATATTGCACTGAAATATTATTTATCTTCATGACTGATTTGGGGGCAACTCCTTAACATTCACACCCAGGGCAAGGGCCTCATTTTGCCTCACCCTAGTGTGGCCCTGTCCTTCTGATTGATGGAAGGATGAGAAGTAGGGTTTAGCCAGGACCGTGGGCTGTCAGGGAACCAGCTTCCACGTTCCAAGAGAATGAGTTCAGTCCTCTCCCGGCACTGCCGCTGATCTGCGGTGTGGCTGTGAGCAATTTTGCCATCTGTAAGAGGAGTGGGATGGCATTTAGAAGATTTCTAAGGCCTCTTTAATGGGGACGTGTGTTTTGTCCCGATTGTATCTTGTACCTCTTTGTGTAATTTTACTGCTCTAGGAATCCCTTTTTTAATTGAACCTTTCAAAAGTATCATTTCGCGATGAACTGAGCATTTAAAACAAACAAGCAAACAAAAGACCCCTGGTCCTTCCCCACAGATGGTTTAAGACAGAGGTTCTCAGGGGAAAGGGGTGTTTTGAAGATGTGTCCATTTGGGGCATCATTTGTCTAGGCTCCTCATAGAGTTACCGATATAGGGCACCTACTGGGTGCCATTGCTGGGGTGTTTCAATACATCTGTGGGAGAGGATGTTATTAACCCTGTTTTATACCACGCATGTGTTGGTGTAATTGCTATACCACCACTAACACCCCAGACTAACATCCCCTGGACATTTGATGTACCCCCCCAGGGCTCCTGGTCATCACACTGGTGCACTGTGATGGTGCCAGCTCTTCCCCAGCCAGGGCAGCACTTCATTCAGAGAAGACCATTTAAAATGCTGCACTGAGGACCTACAATCTAGTAGAGAAGTGAAATACACAGAGTACAACAGTCAACATAAATGAAACCCTGGATTAAGAATTTACAGGATGAATTTCACTTAGCCTAGTTTTCTAGATTAACTAGTCCCTACCCACCCACCCCCTTTTTTTTTTCCCCATTTTGTCTATTAATATCCCATATAAATGAAAATGACTCTGGAAACCATGAGTCATCTTAGTAGAGCACTGACAACTTAGAAAGTCTTAGAATTTGTGCTGCGCTCATAGATTTAAAGTCTGCCCTGTACACTTGGAATGTTACAGTTAGAAGGAATCTTGGCGAACAAGGGTCTGTAGAGAGACATCTGTGTTTGGTGAATTCCTGTATTCAGTGGTGATATGTTCCACTGTCAGGAAGAAGCAAGAAATTAACTTTTTGATTACCTATTACATACCAGACGTTATATTAGGTAGTTCATATTAATCATCTTACCTAATTTCTATTAAAATCCCCTAAGAAAACTCTCCTAGGCATTTTACAGATGAGGGAAACTGAGACTAGCTGTCAGAGTGCTTTGTAATCCTTTTAACTTCTGTCCATTGATCTTAATTTGTTGTGTCCTCTGGAATGACATTTTAAAAATGTGGCCCCTCCTTTTGAAAAGCTTTGCACAAGGCTGACAGCATTATTGAGGAACCTCAGTCAGGGTGACCTTGGACAAATGATTGAACATCTTAGCTGCCTTGGTCTCTGTGCCTGTGACATAGAGTTGAGGGGAAAACAGTGGTCTATGTAGTCAGGACACCAGCGACTCAATTCTGTGCAAAAAAGCAACTCTTGGGACAAGGAAACCATGAGGCTTGGACTCGACTCTGTAAACGCTCTGATAGCTCGTGGGCTATCAGGCGAAGAGGGTGTTATCTAATCATGAAAACCAGACTGAGGGTCACATTCCGGTTTTTATCTCCCTTTAAACTTGGCCACTGATTGTGTAACCTTGTGACAGCTTGTGCTCCCTGGTGCAAATGGAACCATGAATACCCATCCATGGGGGGAAGTGGAGGCAGGTGCTCCGGACCAGCACCTCTCCTGACAGCCCTTTCCTGGGTCCCTTTTGATTTTCTGGGTTGGGGGGGGGACCCACGCAAGCCACTTCTCTCTCTGTGTTCCAGATTGCTCTTCACCCATAACACCAGTTGACCATGAGGCAGTCGCGATCATGGAATCTAAGAAGTACTTTGGATTAAGGTAAAGGTAAACTCTTGTGGTAATACTCTCCCAAGGGCAGACTTGTCATTCCCATCTTTTCTCTGGAGAGTAGCCTGCTGTCTTGATCAGCTCTGTGTCTGCACGCACACCCGGCAGTTCTAAAGAATGACAGGTTCAGCAAGCAGGGTCTGTGTGGCCACCCAGCACTGGGCAGGGGGACGGGTCGGTTTGCTAAATAAAAGGATAGGTAATCCCAGCCGTTATGCTCCCTTCCTTGACTGAGGGTGATCAACACAGAAACAGCATTAGTTGGGAGGAAAGTCCTTGGTTCCACCAATGGCTGCTCTGCATAACCTCCCATCCGGGTAATGGGTTTGGGCTCCCTGGGCTGCAGGATTTGACTAGAGGTCTGTGTCTGTTGGTTCTCAACTTAGTTCTGAGCTTTGAACGTGCCAGAAGCAGACAGAGGAACTCTGGGAAATTTGGAACACGTACCACTGTTATCTGACGATGGCTCATGACTGACTTCCTGACCTCTCACCCGTCTATTTCAGACGTGATTAAATATTGCACATTAATTGTAGTAATTTCCCAACGAATAAAATTACTTTGGTTGTTAGACTGGGCCCAAAGTTCATATATTGCCGTTCAAACTGAACGTGAACTTGTACGGGAGGGCGCTTACCAGCACCGTCGTTACCATCCCTCTGTGTGACTTGCAGCTGATGTCCAGACCGGGCCTTGAGAATGCCAGTTACAGAGACTTCCCTGACGGTCCAGTGATTAAGACTCCGCGCTTCCACTGCAGGGGGCATGGGTTCGATCCCTGGTCAGGGAACTAAGATCCCGCATGCTGTGTGGTGTGGCCAAAGGAAAAAAAAGTGCTGAAAGGTATACTTAAAAAAAAAAAGAATGCCAGTTACAGCTTTTCAACAAGATTCCAGAAAAAATATATTTACAGTTCCTAGGGATTGGCCACGTTTGGGGAGCAGGGCACCAGGTCATGTCCTGGATTTGTAGGTGTGTACAGACTTGGACCTGCTGACCTCTGAGCCCCATTGAACATGCACGGTTGTCATCCCGGCTCTCAGAGTGTCCCTCCCACGAGGGCCCAGCCACACCCAGAGTTAAACCCATGCTCGACCTTGCTAGCCTCTATTCCCGTCCTTGTACCTTAGCACTTTATACTGTAATTGATAAGTGCCCATTTGGTGCACAGACAGAGCCCACAAGAGGCTCCGTTCAAGGGCTCTGGACGGACAGGCAGTAGGCTCTCAAGGACATAGTGGTTTTTGACAACCCTCCCTGTGCCATGTGGGTCAGAACAGCACTTTGTAAAATGTTCCTAAATATAACTCCTAAGAATTGCATGAGCTCTTGGGAGAGGATGGGGAGAGAGAGATTTTCTGACTAAAACGCTGTGCGTCAGCTCATTTTAGTTCATTGCAACACACACTCCCAAGAGCATCACAGTGCCGGAGGCCCGGCTTGTTTTTCCTCTCCCCGCTCATTGTGGCTCTTTACCCTCTAGGTCAAAAAATAAGGTGTAATTACAGTGTTCATTGTTCTTTGACCAGCCTGAGAGAACATTTTCCTGCCATTGTAGCGTATTCACCCATGGTCCAGGACTTCCCAGCATCTGGTGGAGGTGGGTGCACCAGCTTCTCCCAAAGCCCTGGCATGCAGTGCAGGCTTGGGGCAGTGCGGGCTCACAGCCAAGACTCCAGGGCACACACGCTGAGGCCGACGCATTGTCTGTGACTCTCGTGGTTAGAAGGCCAGGAGAGCAGCTCTTTGTAGCCGAGCTTCAAGGAGACCCTACATCTCCATAGGACAGGATCGCTGGTTCCAAATCTTTTGTTTATCGTTGCAAGTCTAAGAACGGATACAGCTAGAGCATTGTGTTGTTTAATCACTCCTTCACCAGGGACTGATTTTTCAGCCTGTCTGGAGACTTGCTCTTTCTAGTGGGGGTGCTCTTTGGGGGGTCATTGCCTCTGCTCTCAGATGTTTGTTGTCCTGCCTGCTCTGTGTTGCCAGGAACTGCAGTCCCAGGATCTTTGGCCAACTGGTGTCTGGCCAGGTTTGGCCAGTGGGAGACAGTCGGGGAGATGGGGGTCTGGAGGAGTGGAAGAGGAAGGACCCCAGGGATTTCGTCTTCCCTTGTTTCTCCTGGGGCAGCATCTTGCAGTGTTTCTTTCCCCTGTGGCTCCCACTCCACCAGACAGACCCTCCCTCCGCGGGCCCAGCTTCTGCCAGGCCGCCCCGACTAGGGCTCTGACCCTGAACATTTGAGCAGAAATCTGGTGGCTCTGAGGGGCTGAACGAGGTGCAGAGCTGGGGAGGAGGCTGCTAGGAAGGGTCTGGAGGGCAGTGTGGCCAGAGGTGGCAAGAGGACAGGTGGACTAGTGTTTGGGGACTTTTATCTGAGTGAGATGGGATAATGTCAACTAGAAGAAGGACAAGATTGAGTTTGAGTTTTTAAGGGTCAGCCCGGCCGTCACGTGTACAGGTTGTAGAGTGAAAGTAGGGAGCCGGGCAGCATAGTGCAGAGCTATCGCTGCCATTCAAGCCAGAGACGACTGTGGCTCCGACCACGGCGGGAGCGGCAGGGTGGTGAGTAGTTGCTTCCAAATCTATTTTGAAGACAGAATCCCCAGAATTGCGGTAGATTGGATGTGGGGGTCTGAGAGAAAAGAGTGCCCTGTGTGGCTCTGAGGTTTTGGGCCTGAGCAAGTGGAACGATCCCGTCTCCCGGGAGGGGCTGGGAGGTAGAGAGTCTGCTTTTGGCTGTAGTGAATCTGAGATGCCTGTAGGACACCCAGACACCTGAGGGAAAATCCCAGAGCGACAGGGGAGACATCTGGCTGGAGATATGCATTTGGAAGTCATCGACCAAAGGCTGGCATTTCAAGCCATGAAACGCGAAGAGAGCCAGGTACGAGTGTAGACGGCAAAGAGAAGGTGTCAGGACTGCACCAGTGACCCCACCCCGGGTAGAAGTTGGGGAGGTAAGGAGGAGTGAGCAAAGGGTCCATGAAGGAGCAGCCGTGAATTAGGAAGACAGCCAGGAGAGGTGGATCCAGAGACCACCAGACGAGTGTCTGGGGAGGGAAGGAGTCGTAGGTGCTCTGTGAGTGACAAGAGTATTCAGGATGACTGCAGGTGCACACGGCTATATTTAAAGTGGATAACCAACAAGGACCTACTGTCTAGCGCCGGGGACCCTGCCCAATATTCTGTAATAACCTAAATGGGAGAAGAATTTGAAAAAGAATAGATACGTGTATATGTATAGCTGAATCACTTTGCTGTACACCGGAAACTAACATGACATTGTAAATCAACTACGCTTCAATTTTTTTAAAAAGTTAAAAAAAAAAAAAAAAGAGATGACCGTGGTGTTTGGTGACATGGAGCCCCCGGCAGCCTTGACATGGGCGAGGAGTGGCCGGGGCAGCAGCCCTGTGGAGCAGGTTCACAAGGGACAGGGCAGTGGACGTGGCACAAAGTGGACGGCTGTTCCCGGGAGCTTCGCTTACAGGGGAGCGGAGAAACGGGGCAGTGCAAGAGAGGCATGTGGGTCGGGAGAGGGCTGTCTCATTTTTAAGGAGGGGGATGTTACAGCGTGTTCATCTGCCAGTGTCATGACCCTGTCACCGTCAGGGGAAGGAATGGAGGATGCAGAAAAGAGAAGGAGAAACTTCAGTAGTGAAATCCTGGGGCAGGCCGGAGGGGTGAGGCGTGCCAGTAGAGGACAGCCCATCGTGGGACAGGAGGGGCAGAGGGAGGACGCGGGCCTGCGGGCAGGGAGTGGGGTCTTCCTGACCACTTCAGGTTTCCTCAGGGATAGGAAACGATGCCACCAGCGGATGGAGGGAGAGGTGTGGGAGGTTTGAGGAGAGAGGAAAGGTGTGCAGCCTCCCGCAGGAGAGCGGGAGGGTGGCTCGTGCAGACGTTTCCCCCACAAGTGGGAGAGCACCGTGCGTGGCGTCTGATTCGGGGACGCGTCTGGAGGCTTGTGCGTATCTGCCGACAGGGAGCTGCGTCGTCCTTGGGAACGGCCGCATACTCTCCCGTTGTATAAACGTTACACGATTTGTCGTGATTATGATTTATTATTTATTACATTAGGTGTATTTGAGCTGTCCCCTCCTGATGGAAATTTAGGCCGCTTCCAGGGCTGGAATGCTCGCACGTACGTCATTTCACACGTTTGGCGGGGGTCTGAGGGCACGTGCTCAGATGGGAGCTGCTGGGGCAGAGCGTGTGTACCTGGTTCATTTCCATAGGCCGGAAATTGGTCCTTCTCAGAGGTTGAGTGATCTTCGCTCCCACCACCAGTGTATGCCCACGCCTGTCTGCCCAGGCCCTCTCCAATACAGTGTATTTTCTAACTCTGTGATACTTCCCAATCTGTTAGGTGAAAATAGTGTCTCATTGGAGTTTTACTGTGCCTTTTTCGTGTTATGAATGAGGATGAACACAGCTTTGTACGTTCGTATTTCCTTCAGGGTTCCCTTTCTGTGATTATCTGTCTGTGCTCTTTGTCCATTCTCCTGCCTTGTCTGTTTGTAGGAACCCTTCATATATATTGCAAAAATTTGCCCCTTATCAGTACTGTGGGTTGCAAACATTTCTTCCCAGTCTATTTATTGACCTTTTGGCTTCATTTATCTTGCCCTCTTTTCATGCAAGATTGGCTCCTTTTTGTATAGTTTGTTCTATCGATTTGCTTTTTTATGGCTACTAGGGTTTTCGGTCATATTTAGGGAAGGGAGGTGGGAGGAGCACGGCCTCTGGAGTCAGACCTGCCTCTGCCACTCCCTGGTGGAGTGTCTGCAGGCAACTTTTTAACCACCTCGAAATGCAGGCATTAGAATGCCTGGGAGAGTGTAAGCCCCATGCCTGGGAGATGCAAGAGGGGAAGGGAAAGAGCATCCTATTTCTTTTATGATAGATAGCATCCTATTTCTTTTATGAAGTACATGTCTGTATTTCCTCATAATCAAAATACTGTTCAGTTTGTTTTTTATAGACAAGAAAAAATATTTTACATAAATTGACTCCACTTGAAAAAGGGATGCTTTAGATTGAACCATTATAGTTTCAGATTCAGTCTTTTCCTAAATAAAAACGTTAAAGCCTCAAAAAAAAAAAAAGTTCCATTCTTTTCTCCATGTCAGTCCCCAAAGCAGGCACATGGCAGTGGCACGGTCAGTGCTGTTTGCTTTCCTGAATTCCTCTGGAAAATTGCAAAAAGTCCATAATTTCCTGGGCACACGCCCTGTAACCCTCTCAAGTCCATCTGGCCTGCCCTCAGAGGTGACGTCCACCCCAGAGGAGAGCTCATTTCCCAGAAGCACTGTTCCAAAGTTGCCATAGGTCCAGGGGCAGCTGAGGGGGTAGAGGCAGCCCCTCTGACTCAGTGTTCTGGTCCCTGCCCACCTGCTCAGCCAATCATAAGCACCCTCTTGGGGGAGTGGTCCTGGGCAGCCAATCAGAGCCCTTCCCTGGGATTCTAACTGGAGCTGACCCCGATTGAAGGACAGTAGCCTGAGAGATTGAACACAGCACTGAGAGAGAAGTAGGATGGGGAGAACATGGAAGCCTTGGTCCCCATTGTCCCTAAGACCAGTTCCTCCTCCCTCTCCCTGTGTCTTTTCTTAAGATAGAGCTGGATTTCTGTCTCTTGCGAGGCAAGAGTCCTCACTGACAGACTTCTCACTTTTAATTAACTTAATCTTGTTGTATTGTTTTGGTCCCCCTGTAGGTTATTCTTTGTAGAACAAGGTGAGGAGAGGAAAAGAGAGGCAGGAAGGGAGGAGGGGAGCAAAGGAAGGCTGTGTAAGCAGCGTTTGTAACTAATACCAGTACCTGTTACTTAGCTGTCACAGCACAACCTCTCTGCCCCTCGGCCACCCCTGACACGTTCCTCGTTGTGGTCAGGTAGCCCTGGCCCTCATGACCTGGGATCTCTCAGAGGGCCTGCAGCCCCAGGGTATATATCCCCAAGCCCATTCTGAGTATCTGCAGGAAGGCAAGTCTCGGCAGTTGTAACACTCCAAACAGTGCTTGTGGGTTGCCAGGGCCATTTTCAGAGGCTCAACTCAAGCAGAGGCATTGGGTATTCTTGTTACTATGGGGGTTCAGATGAGGATCTATGATGGGTGTTTATGGAATTGGAGTACGTAAATCTTCTATAGGAGGAGAAGTTTTCCCTTTGTAATTGGAGAAAGCCTGATTAAAGTATACTGATGACTGGGATTATTGATGTCCCTTAGTAATTTTTCAAGTTACCTGAGCAAGAAAAAAGTAGTGATTACAGAAGCTAAGACCCAGCACCATCAAGTGTATGCTGGTCATTTGCTTTGACAGGCATAATTCAGTTCTCTTTATTTTTGGTTAAACTTCCGTGGTACTGTAACCAGATACCTCCAGGCTAGGGGATGGACTGAGTAATGAGAAGAAAACAAGGTTGTTGAGCTGATAGAAACGGTCAGATTGCTAGTTCAGAGAATTTCTAAGATCTGATGCAAAAGAACCTACTTTCCTCTGGTTTACTCACATCCTCATTTTTTTTCTTTAATCCTAATATCTCTTTCTGTTTGTAAATTCAGATTCACAAAATGGCTGGTCCTAGGGCTACATGAGATCACAAAATACCCTGCCTTGTATTCCATCACTCTTCCACTCTCCTTGAGAGCGAGGTAACAGACACAAATAATGGTATTATAATAGTCCATTGGGAAGCTCTATATTTAGTCTAATGATTTTCCCATGGCTCAAATATTTGGGAACTATTTTTAAAATTAATTTAGGGCCAGTTTGTGAGGTGCAAAGAGCAAAAAGTCTCAATGTGAGTAAACATGATGGCATATTTGTGAAAGTACCAAGCAAAATCCTTAGTATATAGAAGAGGCACATAAAGAAACCAGTGGGAATTTCTGCTGCAGGTCAAAGTGAAATTCCTTGATCACAGTCTCTGTCCGCATCTCAATAGCCTGTGAATTTTGCTCTCTCTGACCCTTATTAATGAAAAACGGGATCTGTCTCAGGCGGCATTACTAGCATCCCAGAGATTACTCAGTTCATCTCTCTCTCTCCCTTTCGTACAAAGAAACGGACAACTTCAGAGGCTCCTGTTTCTGTTGGAATCCTTGGGGAGGTAGATGCCAAGACGGGATTAGACACGCAAGAGGTGTAAGGGGGGAAATGCCTGCGAAGGATACAGGGCAACGAGCAGGGGTGGGCGGGGAGAGCCTCAGACCAGGTGTAGGTCTGACACCTGTGGACGGAGGGTGGGAAGGCAGGTTTGGGTGGGAAAAGCCTCAGGCCACACGGTTCTGAGAAAGTCTGACCAGACCAGCTGGGGAGTCTCCAAGCAAAAGTCAGCAGTCAGAGGAAAACTGACCAGCAGGGACGGGCAGCTCTAGAACCCCACATGTTCTGTCACTCCGTGGGGACAGCCTGGGGAAAGCGTGGCCTCGGGACAAACGCAGTGGAGACCCTGAGGTGGGGGGGGGTCTGGAGCCGTCCATCAGGGGTGCCTCTGGGCCAGGTCCTTTGGAAGGAGAGTTGGGTGTCACCTCCATGGCCACCACATCCCGCCTTGTACCGCACAAGCTCACCTCTCTGTGCTTGTTTGGGGAGCAGCTGCCCCGTGGTTCCTTGGGCCTCTTGTCTTAGGGGGATGAAGAAGAGGGAGGGTGGGATGACTGTAAGTGCCCCTTGCTACAGCTGGTCTTGGGCCACAGTGGGTTCTTCTTACGGGCTCTGTGACCATAAGCAGGCTGTGTGGGTTGAATTGTGTCCCCAGAGAGACATGTTGGAGCCCTATCGCTCAGCCCAGACCCTCACTTATGGGCTGTGCCACGCCCCTTAGCACTTAATGATAAACCACCTTGGTGGACGCACTTGTATATCTTACCTTGCTCCATAAAAATATTTGAGGCAGGGCTTCCCTGGTGGCGCAGTGGTTGAGAGTCCGCCTGCCGATGCAGGGAACACGGGTTCGTGCCCTGGTCCGGGAAGATCCCACATGCCGCGGAACAGCTGGGCCCGTGAGCCGTGGCCGCTGAGCCTGCGCATCTGGAGCCTGTGCTCCGCAACGGGAGAGGACACAGCAGTGAGAGGCCCGCGTACCGCAAAAAAAAAAAAAAAAGATTTTAGGCAACTGCTGCTTCCTATTGTTTGCCTAAAGGTTTATCTGTTGTATTTTTTCAAGACTGACTTAATTTTTTTGGAGTCAA